ATTAAATATACCTTTAGTGCACTAAGAACAGCAGTAAATATGTTAAGCTGTACAGCTTGCTGGCGGACACCTTTGGCTTGCTTAACACATTCGGCAAAGTGATCCAACATTTGCAATCTATAATAATAGAATAAAGATCACATTAACTACACTTTTTCTTTAATTATGTCTGAAAAATAAACGATAACAAAATACAAGCTAACTGTTTACCAAATAATATACCACACTGCCTCTCTTCTATTTCATTCCCACACATGGTCCAGACCAGAACTTAAGACTGCTGAATCAATATATGGGCATGGAGTTGATCATTGGGGAAAAACAAACACCCCAAGAGACCAAAATATTAAGTACCAATTAACAAAATAAGGTCATAATTGCAGTCTTCCCCAGTATGACTAGAGTTCATCAAAGTGCCCAGCCAGTATGTAAACATGCTCAAGATTTCTTGAATAGAATAACAATACTTAATTATGCATCTGTGTGGAAGCTTTTAAACTTAGGAATAATATATGTTACACAATTTTTTCTTTCTTTTTCTTCAGTGTTTCACTCAGAATAAAATAGCTCCTCAAATCCTATCCTTCCACCAATCATCTGTCAGTTTTAAGCCTCTGTGGAGGCTTGTGTGCTGCTGAAAGCTATGCCACCAATATTTTAAATACGAGCAGGGGCACTAATGATAGACAGGTTTCAGCTGAACTTCCAGACTAAGACAGACTAGGAAGGAGGAGAGGTAGAGCACTTCTGACACATTAGCCATTGAAAACCTAATGAATAGCAATCAAACACTGTCTGATATAGAGCCAGAAGAAGAGTCACTCACATTGGAAGGTACTCAAAGCAGAGCTGACCTTAATGATGGAACAAAGATTTTAGTACCTACATTTACTGATGTGGCACAACTCAAAATGAGAAGAAACAGCTGTAAACATCCAATAATAATCAGAACATGGAAATGTACAAAGTAAGAATCTAGGAAAACTGGAAGTAGTCAAAAACGAAATAGAACACAAAAGATCAATATCCTAGGCATTAGTGAGCTGAAATAAACTGGTATTGACCATTTTGAATCCAACAATCATATGGTTTGTTATTGTTGTTAAATGCCATCGAGTTGGTTCTGACCCGTAACAACTCCGTATAGGGTTTCTGAGGAGCAGCTGGTGAACTTGAAACACCGACTTTGTAGTTCAAATGGCTTTGCAGTCTGGTGCATTAACCCACAGCGCCACATCAGGACTCCCTGATTTACTATGTCGGAAACCACAAATTCAAGAGGAATGGCATTACATTAATCACTCAAAACAAAACAAAACAAAAAAATTCCAAGATTTTTTATAGTACAATGCTGTCTGTGATAGGATATCTGTATGTCTATAAGGAAGATGCTATTATTCAAATTTATGCACCAGCCACTAAATCTAGTGATGATAAAATTGAAGAATTCTACCAACTTCTTCAGTCTGAAATTGATCAAACATGCAAACAAAATGTTTTGATGATTACTGGTGATGGGAATGTAAAAGGTGGAAACAGAAATGAAGGATGGTCTTGGTGAAAGAAATAATTCTGGAGATAAACAGGATAGAATTTTGCCAAGACTAACGACTTATTAATTGTAAATACCTTTTTTAAACAACAGACACAGTGACTATACTTGTCTATTAACTACAAGGTCGGTGGTTCTAATCCACCAGCTACTCTTCAGGTTGCTATGAGTTGGAACAGAATCAAAGGCACTTAACAACAACATACACATGGACCTCACCAGATGGAATACAAAGGAATAAAACTGACTACATCTGTGAAAATAGATGATGGAGAAGCTCAATATCATCAGACAACAGAAGGTCAAGGGCAGACCTTCAATTGCTCATATTCAAGTTCAGGCTGAAGCTGAAAAAAATTAAAAGAAGTTCACGAGAGCCAAAATATGACTTTAAATACATTGCACTTGAGTTTAGAGAACATCTCAAGAACAGATTTGATGCATTAGACATTACTGACGATCAGAAAAGTTGTGGGATGACATCAAGAACATCATATGTGTAGACAGCAAAAGGTCATCCAATACTGTGACAAAGTGTAAACAATTTGGTGAACTGAACTTTTGCTTATGGATGCAGTTGGCAAAAGTCCAACTGGAATGGAATATTCTTCATATCAAGAAACATGCTTCCCTCCTCAGTATACGGGTTGATGGGGACAGGCAATTTAGACACTGGCTATCACAAATGGGGGGAAGCTGTAAAAGGCATGAAGTGGCTGGCTTACAAGTTTTCATTTGTGTCTTATTTTCAGAATGAGGGGGGTAATGTAGAATATCCACTGAACAGTTGTCCTCTTTGCTAAATAGTTCTGGTGAAAGGCATGGGTATGGTACTATAGAATTTTATGATTTAATTATAATTGTTAGGATTAATTGTGATTATCAAAACTGAAATTGTGGTAGATGTGTAGAATAAAAGTTGATACAGATGATCCTATCAAGAAGGAAAAGCATGAGTGGAACATGAGATCGCTACCTAGAAAATCTTCAACAGTAGAGAAGGTAGCAAGGAGAGACAGAGCAGCTCCAAGCTCTAGGCCCAAGGACTGAGTAAGGCTGTGTGCCTGCAGGCAGGAGACTAGGTTGCAGAATGTGCTCTTTAGACATTTAAATGAATATACATTTTTTGTTTTGTATGTGTGCACCAAATATTTGTGCTTTGTTCATTTGTAAAATATAAGATGTACATAGTGAACCACAGGGAGGAAGTAGGCTAACGTATTGCAGGGAGGGGCCTGTAATCATTG